AGCACAGCGTTCAGTTTAAAAGCAGGGCCCAGATGTCTCTTCACCCCCAGGCGAAGTTTGGGAGGAAAGAGACCAAGTGTGAGCAGCGGTGCTGCGGCGCCAGGGCCTGGAGCACCATCAGGGAAGGCTTAGCACGGAGGGCGGCGGGAGGTGATGACGCACGACAAACGCAGGGACCAGGCGGCACGGGGTCTGGGAGCCTGGGAAAGAGCACGTCACAAGAGGGGGTCACTCGACGGAAGCTGCAGGGCTCAAGCTCCCAGGGGAGAAAGGCTTTTTACTGGATTCAGGGAAGTAGAGGCCTCGCAAGCTGGCCAAGCGGGGAGGATGGAGCCCCGCTGGGGAGCACCAGATGGCCCGGCAATGGAGCTGGGCCCAGGCAGGAGCAGAGACGGCTGCGGGTGGGGGAGTAGCTCTCCTAATTTTTTTTTTTTTTTTTTGTAAAACCGTATTTGTCATACAATGTTTTAATTTTTATTTTTAACAAAATTAAAAATGTACAGTTTTAAAAGTCAAAGAAATCCACAGCGTTTACAGTCAATGGTGCCCCCCGCACCCCACCTCTGGGGCCTCGGTCCCACTGGCAATCTTCCCCTCTGGGTTCTTTCCCTCTTTGGTCTTTATCTCCAGAGTTTAATGACTACAGTCCTCGGTCCCTTCTATTACCTGCCTCCTAGAAAACAGGAGACTCCCCTCCCCACCCCGCGGCCCCCTGCCCCCTGCCCGAGGGCGGTCCTTCTCCTCCAGAGGCTCCAAGCCCCTGTGCGCCCCTCACAGCCGCACACCCTCCCTTCTGGGACCCGCGGGGGCTCCCCGGAGTGCGTGAGGGCCGCATCTGGTTGCCTAGTTTTCTGCCTTCTCATTGCTAACCTGCCTGTGGACCCTGGGCAGGGATGAGTCACCTCCTGGTCCCTGCAGCCCGGCAGGACACAGCTGAGCAGCCCCTGGCTTCTGGCCCCTCCCCTGCACGGTCCCAGCGTTCTGGGGGCCACCAGGGCAGAGGCAGGTTCCCGCTGCCCCGTAGCCCCGCTGTCCCCCAGAGCAGTCCCCTCCACCGGCCTCGGGGCCTAGGACAGAGGCCACGGGATCAGAGCTTCAGCCGGTGGCCGGAGGGGCCCCCAGGCTTGGGGGGCCGGGTTACCCTGACAGGCTGTGCCCCTTTCATCTTTACCGCCCGCTCGTTTTCAGAGGCCCACGGCGTGGCCATCGGCGTCCGGGCTCCCGGGCTCCCGCGGCGTCTGCTTCCTGAGCTCCCAGGCCCCGTCACTCCCTTCAGTCTCCTGGTGGCCTCCGCCTTTTAAAAATATCTCACCTGTCACTCGGGTGGGCTCCCAAGCAGCAGCAGAGGTCGCTGTGAATTCATCTGCCATTTTGGCGGCGAATCAAGGCAGATTTTTTGATTTTAAGGTGGGAGCTCTCCCGGCGCCCGCCCTGCCCGGGGCGCAGCCAGACCCGCCCGGAGGAGGGGCGGCCTCCGGGGGCTTTCGGGCGACAACGGCAGCGGCAGCGCCTCTTCTCTCCCTGAGCCTGGGCTCCCGTCAGATTGGGCACCCGACGAAGAGGCCGCCCGGGGCTCAGCGGTGGAGCACGTGCCTTCGGCCCAGGGCGTGACCCCGGGTCCCGGGATCGAGTCCCGCGGCGGGCTGCCTGCGTGGAGCCTGCGTCTCCCTCTGCCCGTGGCTCTGCCTCCGTCTCTCTCTCTGTGTCTCTCATGAATAAATAAACAACATAAAAGAAAAATAAACGGAACCTGAGGAAGAGAGGCCGGACCTACAGAGCCTGCCCCCGTCAGAGCGAGCCCACCGGGGGCCAGGGCAGGCCCGGGGGCCGCCCCGGACACGGACACGGACACGGACACGGCGGGGAGGAGCCCAGAACGGGCGAGCTTGAAGGCTCCTTCTCACGCGAGCCGAGTCTGCCAATTCCAGGGTGAGAAGTGTCACCTCAAGGCGACGCAGGAACACAGCCCACACCGCACAACCAAGTCAGTATCACAGAAAAGACCTCACGGTAAATAAAAAACTCGATAGTCTTGTTCGTTATCATGGGCTCTTCGTGTCCTGATCCTCACGTGGTCGAAGGCGCAGTTCCCGGGCAGGCGGGGAGCGGGTTCTGCCAACGAGCAGCTGTGGGGCCCTGTCTCCCCTGTAAGACCAAGTGGGATGTCAGGGGTCCCGGCCGTGTCAGAGCACAGCCATCGCACAGAAGCGGCTTTATCACGGGAGACTGCCCTGCACCTCTCTCTCGGGAAGTGTGGCAAGTTCTCAGAGATGTGCAAATGGAAAACCAAGTCTCTGCGAAGCTGCCACTCCCCTGGGAAGCCTCCCTGCAGATGAGCTCCATGCTGGCTTGTGGAAGGCCCATGGGAAGGCCCAGCAGGACTGGGCTAGGACCGCCCCGGAGTCAGCCGCCTCTGCTCCGACCAGCTCGGGGCTCCTGAGAGCTCCCTCCTCACCTGCAGAAGAGGCCATGGGTGCCCTCCGAGCTCCCTGCCCTTGCTTAACCAAGCCTCAGGGAATTCCCAGAATCGGTGCTGCAACCCTCTGGAATCACAGTCTGGGCAGCCAAGTGGTGCTGCTGATCCCTGCCTCTCAGCGTGGCTGCGGGGGGCCTTCCCTCCCGGGAGCCCGAGGTGCCGTGCACACGAGCTGTGCACACAGGGTGGGCCACCCTGGGCCAGCCCATGCCACCCAAGCATGCTTGCTTACTTCCAGAACTGTTGGCCAGGTTCCCCATTTGCCAGGAGGAGATATTTGGACAACAGCAAACCTAGGGGGAAAGAGGCCCAATACATACAAGGGGTTGTTTATATGCCTGAATTCCAGAGGCCCTCCCCTCGGGATGTCTGTGAAAATTAGATCCAGATTTGCACAATTACAGAGTTGGTCCCAAGCCAGTGGGGATTTGGCTGTCCTCTAAGAAGCAAGTAGTATAACAGCTTTAGTTTAACAACCCGACACTGAGATAAAAAAGACTACCGGGTTCCCCGCTCCCACCCTGGACCCCGGTGCCCCGCAGAGTGAGAACTGGCCTCAGGACAACCCTCCAGGCCCCCGATGTGCACCCTGTTGCCCTGTGACCTCATCTCCTGCACCTGCACCCTCACTCACTCCGCTCCAGCCATACTAGTCCTGCAATGCTCTGGAAGCACGAGGGCTCATGGACCCCTGGCCTGTAAGGATTTGCTCCAGGACCCACAGGGCTCACTCCTGCCCCTCCTGTAGGCTCTACACAGACACCCCTAGTCAGGGTAGGCCTATTGCAACTGCAGCCAGTACTCCCACACCTGATCCTCCCGAACCTCCTCCACAGCAAGCATCCCCACCTGACACACTGTGAGGTGTTTATTTAGTATATTTAGGTTTTGTAAGCCTCACATGGGTATGAGCCAAAGGAAGCTGGGATTTCAGAAGAGTGCCTGGCATATCACAGGCACTTCGTAAATATTTGCTGAATGAATGAAAGAACAAACAAGGCCTTTGTTCATGCAATTTGTTAATGAAGAACTTTCCTCTTCTTTTTTTTTTTTTTTTTTTTTTTAAGATTTTATTTATTTGGGCAGCCCGGTGGCTCAGTGGTTTAGCACCGCCTTCGGCCCAGGGCATGATCCCAGAGACCCAGGATCGAGTCCTGCATCAGGCTCCCTACATGGAGCCTGCTTCTCCCTCTGCCTGGGTCTCTGCCTCTCTCTCTGTCTCTTATTAATAAATAAGTAAATCTTAAAAAAAAGATTTTATTTATTTATTCATCAGAGACATAGGTGGGGTAGAGAGAGAGACAGAGAGGCAGAGACCCAGGCAGAGGGAGAAGCAGGCTTCCTGCAAGGAGCCCAACGTGGGACTCGATCCTAGATCCCGGGATCATGCCCTGAGCCAAAGGCAGATGCTCAACCGCTGAGCCCCCCAGGTGTCCCATCCTCTTTCCTCTTCTAACATCAGTCAGGACTCTGGTTACCCTCCAGCCCTAAATGCCTTCGCACACCTGCTCCCGACTCCTCACCGCCGGCACTGTCTCTCTGAGGGAGCTGCTGATTCAGTCACAGCCCCTGCTGCAGGCCACAAGCTCTGGAAGCGTGCTGGGCTATGACTGTAGTGCTCTCTGACCAGGATCAGCTGAGCTCAGGATGCCAGGGTGGCCCCTTCGGGCTGCCATCAAGACCATCAGGAGGGGCAGACACTGAATGCAGAGCCCCCGTCTCATCAACAAGGCCGTTCCTGCTTCTCCTACTGTTGTGAAGAAACTCAAGCTCGTGAGATCAGAGGCCTAGGCTCAATTCCTCATCTCACCACTGACCACACAGTGGTGCCAAGTCACTGAGCCTTGGAAAGTGAGCAGAGCAATGGTACCTACCTCACAGGACACTGTGAGGACGGAGTGAGGAATTAGATGGGAAGAATCCAAACCGGCAAAGCTGGCACAAATCAAGCACTTCAGAAACATTAAGGGCTATCATGACTACATTAGTATTCCATGCAAAAAAATGCTAAAAACCAAGTTTCCTGCCGAAAACTTTTAGAAAACAACATTTATAAGCTTTAGGAAAAGACATGTTAAGGATTTAAAAGGAATCATTTCAAGGTAGTTTCTGTAAAACTGGAGTCAAGGCCACATACAGGTGTCCACACAGCCTGAACTCCCCACCATGGCCACAGTACACATTTGTCACTGCCAGGTTGGTGTGCACTGGTGAAATGTGGGACTAACGCACACGTCCAGCGACCTATACTGACAATCGGCCCACAGGCCCCCTGCTGGACAGTTTGGTCAGGTTAAGTTGGAGAAAAAAGTTTAATAGAAAAGGAGAAAATGGCTTCGTTTAATATCTTGGTTCTACAAAAGTCAGAAAGAAATCATGCAAATCACAGGTCCCTTGCGTGATGTGAAACCAGGCCACAGGCAGAGGCAGCGCGACACACGGCTTCATGTGCAACTGACGTAGAAAGAATCACTCAGTTTAAAGCCACAATCTCTATAAAAGCATTAGAAGAAGCACTACTTACATGGAACCATGTGAAGATCTCTCTCTGTAGATAACCCTGTAAATGAGTTAAAAAGAATAATTATAATTGGAAATCATACATAGAAAATAAACCAAAGAAAAATCTACCACCTTAGACGCCAAATTTTATCAAACCAAAGGGATTTATTTAAAAAATATACTTATAAATCAGTTATTTAGGAGCTCAAAGGAAATTTCCCAGAGGGAAAAGTTTCCACAGAAGAGGTTAGATTCTAAATTGAGTTCAGAACTTAAGATATGGGGGTGTAGGTGGGACCCCTAGTGCACCACATGGTCTCAGCTCCAAGTCTGAAGCACGTGTCACCTGGACAACAGGACAAGGCACCCTGCCTGTGCAAAGACTTAATGTTTAGGGAAACGGCACCGCCAAAGGCTCCTACGAGCAGCTCAAGGCCTGTGTACAGTGAGGACTGAAGACCGGAGGAAGACCAGAAACCCCTAACACAGGACGTCCGTCCACTTCTAGCCAAGACAGAAGACAGACCAGATAGACTCTCCAGCTACAAACCGTTAAAACACAGACAAAAGACGTGAGACAGGGTTTTGAGACATAGGACAACAGGCAGCACAAGATGATCCTGAGGGGAGGAAACAAATGTGATGCCTCCTGACTGCATAGACTATACCACTTGGGCTTGGGTAGCGATCCCGGGGTCCTGGGATCGATTCCTGCATCGGGCTCCCCAAGGAGTCTGCTTCTCCCTCTGCCTATGTCTCTCTGCCTGTTTCTCATGAATAAATAAGTAAATAAATAAATAAAATCTTTAAAAAAAAGAAATATATCTCATAATAAGAATAGTTGATCACTAAGAAATAGATCCAGAAAGTATGCAAAGAAATAATTAGTACACAAAGTCTTTAAAATAGCTGTTAGAAAGACACTGTTTATATTCAAGAAGATAGAGGAAAGCACAACATGCTAAGGAGAGACATGAAAAGCATCAAAAAAAAATCAAGTATCTGAAATGGAAAATATACTTGATGGAACCAACAATACTTTAGACTCTGCAAGAAGAAAGATTAGTCAATGTGCAGACAAAACAAGCTGAGCAGACAGAAAGCATCTCAAATGAAACATAAAGAAAGGCTCCCCCCACAGAAGAGCAGAAACAGAATTGGATACGCACACGCACACACACATTACATAAACATAATGTAACTGAAGATCCGAGGGGAGGACAGGATGGGACAAAAATAAACTTCAAGAAATAATGGCAAAAAAAAGTTTGAAATTCGATGAAAATTATGAACCCATAGATCCAAGAAGGTCAACAATTCCCAAAGAGAAAAAAACATGAAGGAAATTAAACCAAGGTACATCATAACCAGCTTACCTAGAGAAAAATCTTAAAAACAGCCAGACAGGGGCACTTGGGTGGCTCTCAGTAGGTTGCACGACTGCCTTCAGCTCAGGTCATGATCCCAGGGTCCTGGGATGGAGCCAGAGTTGGGCTCCCTTGCTCAGCAGGCCATCTGCTTCCCCCCTCCCTCTGCCCTTGCTCATGCACTCCCCTCACTATCTCTCTCTCTCTCTCTAATAAATCTTAAAAAAACAAATGAACAAAACCAGCCAGACAAAAAAGAAACATTATGTACAGAGGGACACAGATATGGTGGACAGAGGTCTCAGAAACAATGCAAGTCAGAAACCAGCAGAATGACATCTCTAAAGTGATTGGGGACAAAACTGTCAACCCGAAATACCATACGTAGTGAAAATAACTTTCAAATACAAAGGCAAAAAAAAAAAAAAAACCAAAGGCAAAATAAAGACTTTTTCCAACAAACAAAAGCTAAAATAATTCATCACCAACACACTTGAACTACAAATAATATTAAGCTAAGTCTATCACACAAGAGGAAAATGATATCAAAAGGAAATCCAGATCCACAAAAAAGAAGTAAAAAGCACTGGAAAAAAAATTCAATGAATAAATATAAAAGCCTTTTTCTTGATTTTAAGACTGTTTTAAAACATAATAGACTATTTAAAGCAAAAGTATTAACAATGAGCTTGGAGTTTATAAAATATAGAAGTAAATGGCTTGGGGATAATAACATAAAGGCCACGAGAAGTGAGACAGAAGTATACTGTCATTAGATTTTATATTCTAAGTGAATGAGTATAATATTACTTGAAGACAGATGGTGACACAGATATATACAATGAATCTCAGGCAACCTCTTAAAGAGATATCACTACTAAGCTGGTAAAGGTGCTAGAATTGATCATTAAAAGTACACAGCCCAATATAAGACAGAAAAAGAGGACTAGTAACAAGTAGGACAAATAAAAAAAACTATGGCAAAATGATGGATTTAAATAAAATCATATCAATAATCACATTAAATACGAATGATGTAAACGCTCTAATGAAAATTAAGAGATCTTTAAGAATAGATTTAAAAAACCAGCAGTCCATTATATACTTTACTTATAAGAAACCCACTTTAAATACAAACATACAAATAGGTTGAAAGAAAAACATTGGAAAAGATGTACCATGCTAGCCCTAATCAAAAAAAAAAAAAAGATGAAATGGCTATATTAACACCAGAAAAACTGGGTCTGGGCAAAGCAAAGAATACTATCAGAAGTAAAAAAGGGACATTACATAATAATGAAGGGTCAAACAACTAAACAGAAGATCAGCAAAGGGTATATGAGACTCAACAACACTACCATCAACACCTAATTGACGCTCACACTCTACACAGTAACAACACAACATACCTTATTTTCAGTGATCATGGAATATTTTCAAAGACCATATTCTGAGCCATTTTTAAAAGTCTTAATAAACGTAAAAGATTAAAATCAGAAGTAGTGTGTTCACTGACCACAAGGGAATTCAATTAGAAATCAGTTACAGAAAATAGCACACTTACAAGTAGTACGTGAGAAAGAAGAAATCGGGAGTAGAAACTATAAAGTAGTCTTAACTGAATAAAAATGAAAACACAACATATCAAAATGTGTGGGATGCAGAAAAAGCAGTACCATGAGGGGAAAAAAAATTTTTTTAAAGATTTTATTTATTTATTCCTGAGAGACACACAGAGAGAGAGGGGGGCAGAGACCCAGGCAGAGGGAGAAGCAGGCTCCCTGCAGGGAGCCCGACGTGGGACTCGATCCCGGCATTCTGGGATCACGCCAAGCCAAAGGCAGGCGCTCAACTGCTGAGCCACCCAGGTGTCCCACCACGAGGAAAATTTATAGCACTAAATCCCTAGATTAGGAAAAAAGAAAGTTCTGAAGTCAATAAGCTAAGGTTCTACTATCTCAAAATTAGAAAAAGAGAGAGCATATTAAGTCCAAAGTAAGCAGGAGAAAAGGAATTAAGAAATGAGCTGAGGGATCCCTGGGTGGTGCAGCGGTTTGGCGCCTGCCTTTGGCCCAGGGCGCGATCCTGGAGACCCGGATCGAATCCCACGTCGGGCTCCCGGTGCCTGGAGCCTGCTTCTCCCTCTGCCTATGTCTCTGCCTCTCTCTCTCTCTCTCTCTCTGTGTGTGACAGAAAGAAAGAAAGAAAGAAAGAAAGAAAGAAAGAAAGAAAGAAAGAAAGAAAGAAAGAAAGAAAGAAAGAAAGAAAGAAAGAAAGAAAGAAAGAAAGAAAGAAAGAAAGAAAGAAAGAAAGAAGCTGAAAAGCAATTAAGAAAAATAAGATAGAGAATTGTTGAATCATTATGTTGTATATCTGAAACAAGGGTATCACTGTATGTCGACTAACCATTAATTGAAAAAATAAAACACAGAATTAATGAAATAAGAAATTGGTTCTTTGAGAAGATCAATAATATTGATAAACATCTAGCCATACTCATCAGGAAAAAAAGGTGAAGACACAGATGAGCAGTCCCAATAATGATGAATAGAATACTACCGATACAAAGGCCACTAAAAAGACAATGAAGTTAAAAACCACCATGTGGAACCATTTCACATCTACCAGGATGGCTGTAATCAAAGCAGCAGAAAATAACATGTGTTGGTTAAGAACGTGGAGAAACAGGCACCTTGGCGTCTCACTGGTGTTAGTGACACGCTGTGCAGCCTCTGTGGAAAAGCCTGCCAATTCCTCAGAAAGGTAAACACAGAATTACCATGACTCAGCGATTTCACATCACATTATACATCCAAAAGAGCTAAAAACAGAGATTCACACAGATATTTGTTCATAGCCTCATTATTCTAAAATAGCCAAAATATGGAAACAACTTAAGTGTCCATCAGTGGATGAATTGATAACCAAACTGGAATATATCCATACACAATGGAATATTCCACAGGCATTAAAAAAAAAAAAAAAAAGGAAGGAAGGAAGTACTGATCCACACTACAACTCAGATGAACCTTGAAAACATGACACTAAATGAAAGAAGCCAGACACAAACGGTCGTATACTGCATATGATTCCATTTATAAGAAATAGCCAGAATAGGTCAATCTACAGAGATTGAAAGCAGATTCGTGGTGTCCAGGGCATGGGGAAAGAGGAAACGGGAAGTAATTACTTAATCATCCAGACAAACGGATACTCATTTATCTGGGTGATGAAAAAAGTCTGAAACTGGGTGGTGGTTGTATGACACTGTGAATGTACTGAATGCCGCTGAATCGTATACTTTAAAATGATTAATTGCATGTTATGTGAAATTTACACCAATAAATCAATAAATAAAACAGAATGCAATAAGGGAATGTTAGGACCTATTGCACGTTAATAAATTTAATAACACAGATGGAATTCTTAGAAGAATCAAGCCATCCAAACTCACTCAAGAAGGTTATAGATAACCCTATATGCATTCAAGAAATTGAACTCTAGTTAAAAACCTTCCCACCAAAAAGGATGGCTTCAGTGGTGAATTCCGTGAACTAGTCAAGGAAAAAAATAAGACAAATTCCTTACTAACTCATCCCCCAAATGTAGTACAAATGAACACTTCGCAACCCATTCAGTGAGGCAGGTATATTAACTTGATACCAAAAAAAAAAACAGAAAAATACGCTAA